AAAGATAGAAGATCTAATTCATGGAATTGCATATTTGCATACATGTCTAGGCTAATCTTGTAACCAGGAGAAGCAAAAACCAAAATGTTATGGCAAAGAGTAATGCAAAAGCATGACATAGATCATTTTCTAATGGGATCAGTGAACTAACCTAGATTAAGCTACTCTAAAAGAACTTCAAATAACTATAAAAGAGTCCCAAGAGATTATATTGTGACAATAAAGGGATTATTAGTATGGCTCACAACCTTGTCAATCATTATCAGACCATGACTTTGTAGCTGGATTGCACCTTAGATTAATGTCTTGACGACTAAAGTTTGACAGATTTAGAAGGATGCAATTGTTGGGCTATTCCTAGGGATTGCATCAAATAAATGTAGTAATTTAAAAGAAAAAAAAAATTATGTATTTAATTGTATTTTCTTTCTTACTAGGTTATGCATTATTTCTTTCATATTTTTATCTGTTGTAAAGCTCTATAAATATAAAGATTAATCTACAACTTCTTTCTTTCACTAGCTAGGATGTGCGAATTTGTGTTGGCCAATAAAAAAAGTCATTAATCGCTAAGTTGAGCTTGGGAAAATTAGAATGTTAAGATGTAATAACAAAATTAACAAATGATTTTACTAAAGGAATTATTAAAGTGATATATATTAAAGATAACATAATTGAAAATAACATATATAATTTGGACATGTGTGATAAAAGGTGGAAAATGAACCAATTTATTCATAAAATTAAAATTTGATAAAAAAATGAAAAGTGGTCGACCTAAGTAAAAGGGATAGAAGATGTTCAGAATGATTTAAGACGAATAGGCTTAATAGGGATTAACATAGCCTACCCCAAATAGTTGGGATGATGGTGATGATGATGATGATTCTTGAGCATTCCATACAAACAAAAACTACTTTCCTTGTTTCACTAACCATCAATTAGCTTATCATCAGGTTGCCTAGTTATAATGACAAGAGCAAAATAGTAACAAACACATTGAAAAAGTACCAGTATGCCAAAGAAAGAGGCCCAACTTAGATGTGCCATTATTTCACAAGACATGTTCTTAAGTCTTCTTAAAAATAACAAGAAAATCCTAGGAAAGAAAATTTCTAGTTCAACGTATTTTAATGTAGATGAACAACAACAACAACAACAACATCAAGTCTTTATATCACTACGTTGGGTCGGCTACATGAATCCTTTTTCTTCATTGTGTCCTATTAAAAGTCAAATTCTTGTTTAAAACTAATAAAGAAAGGTCATTCCTAATATTTTCTAACCAAGTCTTTTTAGATCTTCCTCTACCTTTTTTAACATAAGTCAAATCTAATACCTCTACTATCCTAACCAGGTCATCGGAAGGCCGCCGTTTTATGTGGCCAAACCATCTAAGGCGACTCACTCTAATCTTATCTTCTACTGGAGCTACTCCAATCTTTTCACGTATTTGCTCATTTCGTATCCTATCTCCAAGGGTAAAGCCACTCATCCACCTGAGCATCATCATCTCTGCCACACTTAACTTAGTATTATGCTTCTCTATTAATGGCCAACATCTGGCACCTCACCACCAATTTATAGAATTTTTCCTTAAGTTTGAGGGGTACTTTTCTATCACACAAGCCTGATGCATTCCTCCACATCAACCATCCAACTTGAATTATGCTGATAATATCCCCACCTATTTCACCATCACTCTGAACAATATATCCAAGATATCTAAAATGTGTACTCTTATTAATGACTTGATCGCCCAAAGTCACAATCCCCTCACTAGGTCTATTACTACTAAAATTACACTCCACATATTTCGTTTTAGATCTACTCAAGCGAAAACCTTTATGCTCTAAGGTTGACCTCCCTAATTCAAGTTTGCCTTCCACTCTCTCTAGTCTTATCAACAAGGAGAATATCATCAGCAAAAAGCATACACCAAGGTTCATCCTCTTGCAAATGTCTAGTTAGAACATCCATGAATAAAGCAAAAAGATATGGGCTTAAAGTTGATCCTTGATGTAACCCAACCAAATTAGGGAAATACCCGATCAAACCACCTTGTGTTTGAATACAAGTAATAGCTCCTACATTCATATCTTTAATAATTTGAATATAAGCGTTATTAACTACTTTCTTTTCAAGAACTCTCCATAGCAGTTCTCTTGGAACTTTATCATATGCTTTTTTCTAAATCAATAAATATCATATGTAGATCCTCCTTATTTTCTCTATATTTCTCCATCAAACCTCTTAATAAATGTATGGCTTCCATAGTCGACCTACCCGGCATGAATCCAATTTGATTTTGAGAAACATTAATATCCCGCCGCAATCTATGCTCCATAACTCGCTCCCATAGTTTTAAAGAATGACACATTAACTTAATTCCTCTATAATTCGCACAATCTTGGACATCACCTTTATTCTTAAAAATATGAATTAACACATTCATTCGTCACTCATCTGTCATATTTTTAGTCTTCAAAATAGTATTAAAAAGTTTAGCAAGCCAAGAAATTACTTCATCTCCTAAGCATTTTCACACCTCTATTGGAATATCATCAAGTCCAACAGCTTTTCCACTGTTTATTTTCTTTAAAGCATCTCTAACTTAGATTTTATTAATACGCCGATAAAAATAAAAATCTTTATTTTTATTAGGGTGATAAGGTAATAAAAGTCAATCTTATTTTCACAATCTTCATTAAAAAGTTTAGCAAAATATCTCATCCACATTTGTAGAATATCATCTTCTAAAAAAATTATTTTTTGATCTTCATCCTTAATACACTTCACTTGAAATACATCCTTACCACTCATATCTCTTTGTTTGGCTAACTTATACATATATATTTCTCCCTCTTTAGTATCTAATCTATTATATAAATCACTAAAAGCTAAGATCTTTGCATCGCATATTACTTTCTTAGATTCCTTACGAGCCTCTTTAAATCTTTCTCAATTATCAGAATTTTTAAATTTAACCAATTTTTATAACAAATCTTCTTATTTTTAATCTTTTCTTGCACATTTGGATTTCACCACCAACTATTTTTACTATTAGGAGCTTTCCCTTTGATAGTTCAAGCACATCTTTTGCAATATTCTTAATATCAATAGCCACTTTTTCCCACATAACATTAGCATCCTCATATACAGACAAAATCTTAAGATCTAAAATATTACTCTCAAAAATATTTTTGAGATATTTTTACTAATATTTTTAAAATGCCCCAATCTAATCCTAGAATATTGTTTTACTTTATTTTTTATTTTATGCCGATTTATCTTAAAGTCTAAAACTAATAATTGATATTGAGTACATAAATTTTCACTCATAATAACTTTACAATCTTCGCAATCTTATAAGAAAATAGTCAATCTGAGTTGTACTATATACATTTTTATAAGTGATAAGATACTCATTATTTTTCTTAAATAAGGTATTAGCAATTAAAAAATCATACGCTAAACAAAAAACTAATATGATCTTGCCACCTTCATTTGTCGTTCCAAACTCATGGCCACCGTGAATGCTTTTAAAATCATCTAACTCTCTACCAACATGTCCATTTAAATATCCTCCAATAAAAACTTTCTTCAAGAGTTATCTTTTGTATTAATTCTTTTAAGTCGTTCCAAAATTTTAATTTAGAACTCACATCCAAACCTACTTGAAGAGCATAAGCGCTTATAATACTAACAATCTTAGCATCAAAAATAATCTTTAAAGCTATAATTCTATCTTCAATCCTATTAATTTTTATAACATTATCCTTTAAACTCTTATCTATAATAACACATACACCATTTCTAGGACGACTCCTACCCGAATACCAAAGTTTAAATCCTAAACTATCAATTTCCTTAGTCTTCTCTCCAACCCATTTAATTTCATAAATGCACAAAATATTTAACTTCTTATGAATCATAATATCTATTAATTCCATTAATTTTCCTGTAAGGTAACCTATATTCCAAGTTCTTATCCTAATTTTAGTTTCATATTTTTAGTTTCATAGACTAGCTTCTTTACTCACATCCGTCCTTGATGTGAGAACCCTTGTCTATTTAACACTGCACCCGTGCGTCGGTGCAGCGGCCCTTGCACACTTGTCATTGTATTCAGGTCATACAGTGCGTCGCTTCCAAGGGACGCCCTAGCATTAACACAATTTCTTAAAGGATTCATATCATTATTATTAGACAAGTTTTACGATGGTTGTTGACTACCTAACGCAACCCTCTACTTTTCTCATCCAGGACTTGGGACCTGGCAACGCCATAAGATTAAATGAGAAAAAGGCTACCTAAAATTTTTGCTTCTAGACCCTACTTTTCTATTAGCTAAAAAAACTTGACAACAATTCTCAAACAATCAATAGATCCAGCAGCTAGTTAAAACGCCGAGATAACAATGTTTCATTCTTAAAGCCTGGCACTCCGATCATGATTCCCAGATCAACTATTTCCTCTTATCATGAGATAAATCCACCACAGTATATGCCTTTTAGGACGCATAAACTTAAATTTAATTCAGGAATAAACAATATAGATGACTGTATTCTTTGTTTTTCCGGAGCCAGACACCTGGAAATCCCCGTCTCAATTGTATCAACCAAAACGAAGGACAAACCAATAATCTAGTTCTAACGATATTACCAAACCGCTTCATAACCTGTTTGAGCCCGTACATACAGGAAAGCAATCATAGAAGATGTGGATTCAAACATTTAGCATCACAAAAGGTAAAACAACAAATCGTTTCAACATCTACAATGAAACAGAAGCCTTTTAAAGGAGGAAAACTCCATACAAATATACAGCTAATAGACAACCCTCCCTCCCACCCCAACAAAAAAAAAGGAAATTAAACCTAATCTATATCGGTTCCAACTCCAAATAAACTCAATTTTGTAGATACTAAAAAGAAATTCCAGCCTTCTTTCATTAATTTCTCGCAGCTATATGCATATAGAAGGGGTGGATCCACTTACGTTGCTACCTCTCCAGACCTCATAAACACTCGGCGCATCCTCGATGCTCGCAGCCCCAGCGGCAGCGGTCACCGAAGCAGAAGGAAGCGGAACGGCGTGCATTCTGGCGATCTTTCGCTATCTCAAAAGCCTAATTCAAAGCCGACCGGAGAAAAGACGAAAAAGATGGCCGTATCGCCTCTGTTGGGTTTTCCGGCAACTCTACAAGCATACGTTGCCGGACAGCATCAGATCAGCCGATCCGGTAGCTTCGTTGCTCCAAGAATGAGTCCAATCGCTCGTCCTCTTGCGGCGCCGAGGACTGCCGAGGCGTTTCCCTTAGCTTGGAGGTCACAGAAGGTGGAGGGGCGGAAGGGGGCGTGGAACTCTAGCACGTGCCACTCACCGGTTACTTGAGCTGCTTTTATTTTTCTTCCTAAGAAAAAAATTCAGCATAAAACTTGAAATTAAATAAATTATAAAACAACCCCTCAACTATTT